CACCAGGTCGAACATCTCGTCCACCTGTCGATACCACTACGATCAGTGACCCGGTTACCAGAAGAGAGGGAAGGAGAGGGGGGGGGATGGGTGCCTTTTTCCCGGTGCGGGCCTCCAGCTGGCGGATCATTTCGATGAGGATGACTCCACGCATGCCACCTCCGTCCATGCACAGCACCCGGATAGGAGGCAGGCTCAGAAGTTCACTGCATGGAGGCGGCTGCGAGAATGCTCGCAGCATGGTGCTCACCGGTGCCGGGAATGAGCCTGCATGTGCGACGACATCGTGTGTGTTGGTGTGGTGTGTCATGTGCGGAATCGAGTGTGTGCCGTGTCATTATAGGTTACCTGTCTCAGATGGGTCTTGGAAGAAGCACTTGTCCGGCAGAAGACTGGCGTCCCACAGTGATTGGTCCTTTTTGTGCTTTTGTGGTGTGAGTGAGATTGATCGAAACACCAAAACCAAAGGGGTCAATCGTACCTTTTGGTGGTTGTGGCGCAGCCAGAAGGCACGATCGAACGACTTCAGAAGAGCGCGATCGTCGTCGTCCAGGAGATGTAGGTGGTCTCGGCAGTACTGGTCCAGCTGGGCGTGCGAGTGGAACTCGACGTCCCTGAATCGAGGGAGCGTCGCTTCGCCTCGCTTCAGTTTCTGCAAAAACACACCTGGGGGGGGGGGGAAAAGAACAACATGCCAAAAAAAACATGGTTAACAGCCGAACGCACAGAGTGTGATCGATAGCGCCGTACGTACCGATCTCGCCTTGAACTGGCTTGCTCAAGCCAAGGGTACGGAGCGCGCTGGCGACGAAATGCTGGCACGTGCAGGTGCGCTGGTCGTAGTGCTTGGTCGCGTTCCACACGATTACCTGGTCGGCCAGCTGGTGGATACAAAAGGCGAAGGAGGTGATGTCAGAGACGCAGACGGTAAATCAAAGAAAGGGAACACGGAGGCGTGGTCGGGTAGGGTACCTTGCGCAGACTCTCCATGTCCGCAGGCTGGGTGACATCAAGTACGCCGACGTCGAGTGCCAGGAGGGCATCATCCGAGTGCAGCTCCTTGGTGTGCACCAGTGAGCCGTCGAACCAGTGAAGCAAGTGAGGCCCCACCTGCAGCGCCGAATGTACCAGCCCGTCCTGGTGGTGTCGTGCGTGTGGTGGTGGTGACCATTCGGAATCATCAGCTCAGCTGTTCGTGAACACGAGGAGGAGCGGGGAGGGGGGCACTTCGGTCTTGATTATGCGTCGGACGAGCCACGCAAGAGTGGGGTTCTGATGCCAGTAGGCCAGATCGACCAGCACGAACTTGACCACCACCCGCTTCCTCATGTCATGCTTGCGTATGCCGTCCTGCGGAGTCGATGACCACTTGATTAATTGGTATTACAGCGTAATTTGGTCGTTACCAGTTTCTTGCGAAAAAGGAAACCTTAAAATTAAAATTAGGGGGGCGGTACAAGCCAGTAGTCGAGAAGGGCGGTCGGCTGGACGTAGGGTGCGTGGTCGTCTATGCTGAACACAGAGCTGGTGAACTTGCTCGACACCAAGACTGTTGCCTCCTCTTCCGAAATCGTCACTTGGCCGGCCTCCTGGTTCGAGGCAACTCGCAAGCTGGGCACCTCGCTGTCGGCGGGCCTGCTGTATGCGCCGCCCATTGTGTGCGTGTGTGCGGTGGTTGTTTGAATTTTGGCCCGTTGGTGGCGCGGACAAACTCGACACTTGGTGGTAATTATGATACTCCCCGGCAGGCCATTGGGCCATGCTTTTTGTGTGGGCACGGCGCAGCATAGTTGCCTTGGCCCTCATATAGAGTTGCTAAACGGCAGACGAAACTGCACTCGCTCGACGCCGGATGAGCGCCGTGTGGTCTCGGTTGTGGGCCGACTCGCCACCACCCGAACCGTTGGTTCCAACGCCCGGCCGTCGTCCTCTCTTGGTGGCCTTATGCAGAGCATGCCAGGCCCTCAATTTTCTAGGTGCGGGCAACCCCCCCTCGCCGGCAAGCCCTTTTCTCGAGACTCAGCGGAAACCCTGTGTTGTTTTGCTATTTGCAGGGTGCCAGAGGTGCGGCCGACTCTTGAGCAAGCAGGCAGTGCATGGTGACTACCAGGGAGCATGCTGCAGCACCGGTTGTTCTACCTCCACACCCCACACCTGCCGCGCCTGCCAAAGCGCAAAATTATCCTGCTTCCGGTACTTTTACCTCCCTCTCTCTCTCTCGGGCTCACGCTAAAACTCACCTCACCTGGCGGCTTTCATGTCGGTGCCTAGGGTTTCCATGTCTTTGGAGGAATTGGAGCGAGGTCTCGCTGCCTTGTCGAGAACCAACCCTGGTTCCAAGGCCAAAGCGATGTGGTCCTGCCTGCTGATTTGCACCAGGTGTTCCTCGGCCCAATTGCCCATCCTTTGCGACACCCGGCTGGGCGAGGTCAACTCGGCTGGCTTGCTGGTCGACGAAACGCTGGGCGAGAGGCTGTGGCCCACTTTTTGCCATTGGGACGTGAACTGCGCCGGGGCCAGCGTCAACAACGTGATGTGCCTCGACCTCCGACTCAGTGTGAAGGAGCTAGAGTACGGGTGCGACATGATCAGGACCACACCTTTGGGGGCGTGGACCAGCTTCCGCTACCCCGAGCACGGCCTGCGAGCAGTGCGTCAGAACCCCGGTACCTCCTATTGTTGCCTGATCGGCCGCTTCACCAATGCGCGCTTATGATGACTGGTTTGTATTTGTTTTGCCATAGTGCCTGTGGTTCCGTTCCACACCGAGATAACAAGTGGTAAGGTGATCGCGCGAGGTTCCTTTGGCGAGGTGGCTGAAGCCGAGTGGAAAGGAAAGGCGGTCGCCATCAAGAGCCTGATGAAATACAACACCACTGCTGCCCAGATGCTTGACGAGGCCGTCATCATCAGGTTTGTGTTCACTACGAAACTGAAAAGGTTACAAGAGGTGAAGGGATCTGAGATTAACTGTGTGTGTGTGTGCGTGGGTGGTGCTGACAGGAACTTAGACCACAGGAACATCATCAAGCTGTACGCCATCAGTGAGCGCAAGAAATTCTGGGTGCTGGTGATGGAGTTCGCCGAACAGGGTAGCCTTAACTGCCACGGGCACTCGACACTCGCCAAGCTCCGAATCGCGATTGAGATAGTCGAGGCGTTGCACCACCTACACTCCCGCGAACCGCCAGTTCTTCACCGGGGTACTTCTCGAAGATTGATTAATTGGCAGAGCCAGCATTCTTCAAATCCTCACGTTGACATGATGAATGCAGATCTGAAACCGGGCAATGTACTGCTGATGGGCGATGGCACGGTCAAGCTGTGTGACTTTGGCTTATCGCGGTACCGCGAGGCCTCTGCACTCTACACGGGTCTCGCAGGCACGCCACGCTACATGGCCAGTGACGACAGAGTAACGGAGAAGAGCGATATCTTCAGCTTCGGGATGCTCCTGTGGGCGCTCTTGACCGAGAAGGTGCCCTATCAAGGCGTAGAAGACAGACTAGTGGGGAGGAAGGTCGACCAGGGCGAGCGACCCCCTCTCGACCACGACGAATGCTTCAACAGCCTCTCGTGCGGATCCCAACTGACGGACCTCATCGGGCGTTGCTGGCACAAAGACCCCGAGGCGAGACCTTCCGCAGCCGCCGTGGTAGAGGAATTGCGGTCCATCTATCCAGGTGCGGAGATGGTCAGTTGGTGCGGCCGATGGCGACAGTTCTGTTCAACAGCTAATAGGGTGGTGGCGTGCGTGTCGTGTGTGTAGTTGTGCCCTGGACGGACCTGCACTTCGCAGGTGGCCAAGACGTGGACGGAGGTGGCCAACCCCACCAGGTGCTGCAGGGCTGGTGGCAAAACGCTCCGGTCACCATCGAGGTTGTCGACATGGATGACATCACCTGTTCCCAGTTCCTCGCTCAGATCGCCATGCTCAGGTGCACTACGCTTCCCGCTGCGCCATGTGTGTACTCAGGAGTGCCTGCAATGCGTCACACACGAGCTCACCGCGGGGGCGGCAGGAACCTGAATCACGCCAACATTGTCGGGTTGCTCGCTGCGAGCGAGCAGGAGGGCAAGCAGCACGCGGGGCTCGTGTGGGAGTCAGCCGAGCATGACGACCTCCACCCAGCTTTGCCCAACGCGGACGCATGGCGGGCTCTGTCGACAAGTATGAAACTCGCCTGTGTCGCCGATGTCGCCGAGGCGCTGGACTACCTCCACTCCCAGAGCCCACCAATCATACACGGCC